CTCTCCCTCCTCCCTCTCTCTCTCTCTCTCATCTCTCCTCTCTCTCTCTCTCTCTCTCTCTCCTCTCTCTCTCTCTCTCCTCTCTCTCTCTTCCTCTCTCCCTCTCTCTCTCTCTCTCTCTCTCGCTCTATCTCTCTCTCTCCTCTCTCTCTCTCTCTCTTCTCCTCTCTCTCTCTCTCCTCTCTCTCTCTCTCTCTCTCTCTCTCTTTCTTCAGCGAGGTCGCATCCGCCTCGGACTTGCATACCGAGCCGTCAGGGGCTCCGCAGCATTCCGTTATGTGGACGTGGCCCGCCCACCCGCCATCATGGCGCAGCCAGGCATGAAACGCAAGATTTCGCTGTTTGTAGAAAGAGCACGGCATGCCTTTTTTGCGTTTAAAAAGTGGAACGCGATGAATGTAGCCGCGCAAACTTTTACGGAGAGCCAGCGACTGCAAAGGTTGTACTAGCGCTGAGGGGCTGGGAGCCAAGGGTGCTCATCACTCGGTCAATACGCGCCTCGCGTTTAAGGAGTGTCCGCAATTGTTCATATCGCTGGTGTTAAAGTAGCGTGGTAAAATTTGGTTGTTCTTTGCACGCGTGTGAACGTAATATATGATGAAGAGTTTGCATGGGTGATAGGCCGTCAACAGGGTTTCCTCGCCCATATTAGTAACATGTGGTGCAGTCGGATTCGGGCAAGCTTTTCTACACATCAGAAGCGTCTCAGGCGCACTCGCCGAATCCTTTTGGATTTCAACATGAATATCTTTGGTGTTATGAAGCAAAATTTGACTTAAAGTCCTTATTTAAATTCCTCTGAATCATTGGAAAAAGGGTCCACTTCTGCCCGGGGAAAATCGTCGCAGCTGCGATTCATTCGCGATAATGTATTTGTTCAATGTAACGCGGTGGTTGCAAGGACATACGCTCGTCGGAAGGTATCACATCCGGCTTCCATCAGTGATCAGACCAAACTAACCTGTTAATGCCCAACTTAACTGAGTCTGGATCCCATCCGCGTTTATGCAGCAGTAAATCTGGCATGTTCTTCAAAGGTACATGTATTTAAAGTGCCACATTTCTGGTCGAAGTTTGATTGCATCTCAAATCGTACACCGATGGTCAAATTTTCCACTTAAATCATTGTCTTCGAGGAAGTCCTCATCAGTTTCTTGCTCATCTCTCAAAAGAACGTTCCCTTAAGTTTACTTTGTTTTCGTCCGCCTGTGGTCACAGCGTTTCTTCAGTACATGCGCCCTGTTTAGTGCTGTCGGGATGATATCTACTGACCACGCTCATTGCGTTTGCAATTACCCCACCATAAACTGAAATACCGAGACAACAGAACGGGTAAATGTTACAGGGATGCAGAGATCCGTACGCACGTATCTCACCCGGAGATCATAAAGAATCTTCAGGCAGTCGCCGCATTTGGTGAGACAACTCACGCAGTGCCGCGTCGGTGTTGTGTCAGGTTAGAGCTATTTAGTCTGTGTTTAATTATATCAGAGCTAGGAAAATGATGAGAGGCCAATGGCCTGGCAATGTTGCGACCAATGTGGGCTGCCACCGCAACCAAGTCTACCTACCTACTGAGAACTCGACTACTGAGAACTCGACAACTGAGAACTCGTCAACTGAGAACTCGATTACTGGGAACTCGAGATACACCCATGAGAACTCGACCTACCCAAGGGTACTAGAGAAGGCCACGCAAACGTGACGTCACCACAGGACTAAAATTTGATAGCCCGCAGTGCGGTTTTTGGTTGATACTACGAAAAGGTTGGTAGATACTAGTCATATAACTTTAAACGGCGAGTTTGCCCTTGAACTGGATGACAACCCTGTTCTACACTTTTATTTTAATGTTTCATGAATCAATATAATAATTCTGCATTCAAACCCTTCTAAATACGACTCAGTACCAGGATCTGACTGCAAAGATAAACCCCTACTAAACCACCATTTTCTAGTTGCGGCACCCGCACCATATTTGTGGAGGCCAACGCGCTGTGAATATCTATATGTGAAGCGCTTTTGAAAAAAGGAAAATTCAAAGATATATATTTGCCAAAGAATTAGTTAGACGTTAGTTGGGTATATATTTACATTAAGTAGTTAATGGGCAATGACTACGCATATATTTTTGCACTGCAGTACCTATATGGAGTAAAATGTGAAAATAAGGTAATGTGAAGAAGGCAGGTGCCAATAATTTCGCTGTTGCTGTGCTATGATCTTACTAGGTGCTGGTCAACTTGCCAGATTTATGATGTTGCATGGGTTAGATAAAAATGGTGCGCAGAGAATAACATCCCACCACCCTAAAATATCCCTATTAGACTATTCCGGAACTCAGATATGGGCCTTGACCCTTTGAGTGGCAGAGGTTGCAAAAATTGCCAGAAACCAACCTATTTCGCAGGAAAATTATGCTATCTTGAACTGAAGTGGCACGTGCTGCATTTTAGCTGCCGGGGTTCACCACTCACTAACCCCATAAGGGCAGGCCAACCCTGCATCCACCATGACAACGCTCCCCACTAAGGCTACAGGATCTTTATTCCAACTTCTCAATGCCGCGTCCTAGGGTGCTGCGAGCCCGTCTGTCTCGCTGTATGTCATTTCCAACAGATGTTGTTGTTGTTGCACGTTTATACTCTTTTACACAGACTGTTTCTAAGCACTTCCGGTTTGAGTTCTTCGGGATGAGTCCCTGGTGAATGGGTAACTCCATCCCATCCATCATAACATGGGTAACTCCAAGTCGAAAACAATTCGGCTTTCGGACATATTTATGTTTAAATCAGCCCTCAAAGAACAGTGTTTACACGCCGCCCTAGCGTTGGTGCCATCTGACGTCGTCCTATGATGACGTCACAGCATCGCTACCCAGAATGCAGTAATGCGGGGGTTTGGACCTACCTACCTACCTCTGAGAACCCACTGAGAACTCAACTTCAGCCATGAGACCAGCTCGTGACTGATCATCACGTTGAACTTCCTGTGAGGCGGGTAGCCAGGCGGGTGAGGTGGGTAGCGGATTCCGCGGCCAGTGCCCGAGCACGGCGTTTCACGAGGCAAACACGGACATCGGTAACACTTGGGTCGAGTGTCATTACCGCCGACCACGGCATCTCACCGCGCTGCTGAGTCATGACACGTCAGTGGAAGTGGAAGGGCGCTAGTGGAACGGCTTCCAGCACTCCGCCGTGTGACTGGGAGAATCTCTACAGACAACAGCGGTCAGAACCTCGCAGCCCGCGACGACGATGGGAGATTGACGCCTCTGCCCAGCGCCGGAAAACTCGCAGCGTTGGCTTCACCAATTTATGTTCCACCACATTCAAGAAGCAGAGCTTCCACAGGTGATCCGACCCTCGCGTCTGACCACACCATAATGGTCTGACTTTGGACCCTGTTCTGTGTACCGCGTGAGAGCTCATTGTACCGAACGGCGACCCACACAGGACGTCGTGGCGTATTCAGCTATCGTGACGAAACAGTCCTGAGGTCGTGACTCTACATCATGAACTTCGGTTTCCCTGCCGTACTCCGCGCGAGAGGCCTGGCGGTAAAGACCCAGGCAGTCACGTTTGGCGTAAACAAAACCATTTCTATGGAGCCTCCGCCTTCCAAATCAACACAGCGAGAGCGCCCTGAATCTGCGCTGATTGGGAGTCCGAAGGAGAGACGGCAACATAGCTCAGCTGGGGCGCGCTCGGCCTCCACGTGCGAGTTAGGGGCTCCATTCTCGACTGACGTGATCTCTAGATGCTGACATGACCCACTGTAATCGCCTGCAGCACTCCAGTGCCCGGCACATTTCGCTGCGCAACTCCCCATGGAGAACTAGCGACTACGCTAATTATGTCAGCGCTCAGAGCCGATGACGTCAGCAGGTAATTGAGCCCAGATCTGATATGCGGAAGCCGAGCACGCTACGCGCATATGGAAAACAGAACATATTGAATCGGTGTTTTTCCGCGGCAAGGCCCTGGTCCTGTGCCCGTGCCCTCAGTAGAACCGAGGTCAGATGGTGGAGGAGGGTACCACGCATCTGTACCGTAGGAGGATCCTGGACCCGTACCTGTGCCACAGATGGAACGTGGCCCCGTACCTTTACCACAGATGGAACCCGACCCCGCACCCGTGTTGCAGGTGGATCCTGACCGCGTGCCTGTGTTGCAGGCGGATCCTGACCCCGAATCTGTACCGCACGAGGATTCTGACCCCGTACCTGTACCACAGATGGAACCTGGCCCCGTACCTGTGTTGCAGGCGGATCCTGACCCCGAATCTGTACCGCAGGAGGATCCTTACACCGTACCTGTGCCGCAGGAGGACCCTGGCCTATATCTGTACCACAGGAGGATCCTGACCCCGCACCTGTCCCGCGGGAGGACTCTGGTCCCCGTATTTGTACCGCAGGAGGATCCTGACCCCGTACCAGTGCCGCGGGAGAACCCTGGCCCCGTATCTGCGCCAAAGGATGATCTTGACCCCATACCTGCGCCACGGAGGACACTGACCCCTATACCTGTGGCGCGAGAAGACCATGTGCCGCGGAGCCCCTGACCCTGCGCCTGTTTGGCAGGAGACCTCACCGCCAGGGGCTGGCGGCGAGCCGGCCGAAGAGTCCCAGGTCGGCTCGATCCTCGACTCGCTGGGCACTTGGTTCTCGGGCGTCTCGGACAAACTGTACACGGCCGTCACCAAGAACATAGGCGAGAACATCGACCTAGCTACTGTCTCCGATCGCGTCACCGAGCTCATCCCGGAGTTCGACTACGCGCCCAACACGGTCATCAATAAAAATGAGGTATGCTAAAGGAAGAAGAAACAGCCTCGGATTCGTCTTGAACTCTTTGCTGAATCGTGCGACAGTGTAGTTTCCTAGTTTCCTTTACATATATATATATATATATATATATATATATATATATATATATATATATATATATATATATATGCCCTTTCGAGATCTTTACGGGATTTCGGCCAGTGAATGGTAACAAGTGGGGACGGCTGATAAAATTCAAGCGTCTAGGACGCTTGCAACGTCCATGGAGAGCGGCGGGCTTGTGTGGGATTGTGCTGCTGTATGGTCTGCACGCCAAGGCGGTACTGTGCGTGGGCAAGAAATATCGCGGCGCTTGTAGCATTAAGCTCATGAGATTTTGACGGGGCTAAATGGTGCAGGTGATGGATGGTAGTGGATTGGTGAAACAAATAGCTGGCCTGAGGCGTCGGACAAGGCGGCGCCGGGCAGCGGAAGTGACGCTGTGCTGTTTTCTCCACGTTGGTTATTTACGACTTTGGTGGTAATGTCGCAAACGGGTTAATCAGCTTTTCCCATCCCTTACCGCTCGCACAGGTTTATCACTGTCCAGGTCACGGCACCTAAAGGGTCGCTGTGGAGCTCACTTTATTGGGATTGTGAGATCAAAAAGCTGCCGCGTTCCCACCATACACGAATGGCCGGCACGTGGACTGCGGCAAGGCGGCGGCGGCCCTGAATGACGCGCTCGCCGTTCTGGACGCGGCAGGAAGCAGGCTACGAGGTCCGACACTACCCGTCGCAGCGCTGGGCATGCACGGCCGAGCCAGTCACCGTCGAGCCCGTCGAAGAAGAGGCTGTCCAGTGGAACCGCACCAAGCTCATGTTCGACCGGCTCTTCAAGTATTTCTCCGGCGAGAACAGCAGAGGTGAGCCGACGGCGTGCTCGCGCTGCAGCCCCAGTCATGTAGGCGCAGAGCCGCGCCTACATGACTGATCCAGGGCCAGCCTCAGTCATGCGGCCGGCCCTGCTCCTGGGGAGAGGAATAGAGCTCCTGCGGGCTCTATTCTCGACTGGCATGATCTCTAGATGCTGACATGACCCACTGCAATCGCGTACAGCACTTCAATGCCCGGCACATTTCGCTGCGCAACTCCCCAGCTAGGAGAGCTAGCGACTACGCTGACTATGTCAGCGCTCAGAGCCGATGACATCCGCGTCCGGTATGGTAGCCTGCCGGGCCACCATACGCGGACCGGCAGGCCATCGGCCAGGACCGACACCGGGGACGCCTGCCACGGTGGCGAGCTCAGGGCATGCTTGTGGTGTCAGTGGCGTTGCACTGACGGCACTGAGGCGCCATTCCACGTCACAGGTTGTCTGCGGGGAGGTGTGTTATGCTACTAAAATGAAGAAGGTTCTGATGTAAAGTAACAAGAACCGAATTGCATGCTGTACAAGCAGAACACTCGGGCTTCATTGCCGTCAATATTTCATCAAACAAATGCATATTAAGGTGTCCCTATGTCGATGAAGATAAAAGACGGCTGGATATTCCCAAGACTGCCAAATTCCCGACAAGCCCCCAAACATGATCAATTTTACTGATAATAGTAAGATGTAACTGAGACAAGAAATCCAAACGCAAGAGACAATACACACAAAAACGCACCCAACATATCAGGATTTTGACACATTTGGTCATGAGCCTGGCTGACTCTTCACCCAGCTTTCTTCTCCTGTGGGTGCAGTCAGCGTACCATTGTATCAAGGGAGACTTCGTCTGGTCTTGACTGTCTGGCCTGTTTCGGTTCGAGATGTACAGCACAACGCACACTTGATAGGGCAATGTACCTAAAACCAAACCCAAACGAGGCTCACTCTTGTGTCTCGGTGTTCTTTTGCCGGTGCCGACGCGGTACCAAAAACGAAAGATCTCACGGCTTCCAAATTCATTTAATTCTTTTTGGCAATTCGGCTACACAGTATCCGCTATAAGCAAGTGAATCAGACGACTGTACTGACGTCGACAGGCATGCTGTAACGGGAATCAGGTAACAATGGCTGGGCAGCGAGCTGGCGAAACAACAGGACTTGGCGAGGAAGCGACGCAGGGAACGCAGGACATAGGAAATTCAAACATCATTCAGAAGCCGCCTGTAGTCGCACTTAAGCAGATGCGGCATGGAGGACATGCCTCGGCACTCACCACATTTTCCAAATGGGACGCCGCACACATGCAATGCAATTACCTCGTCAATTGCAAGGCAAGCTGCACCTTCCGGCTCATCCGAAGACATCCTTCATTAAAAGTGAAACGCGCTCACCTCCGTTCTCGGAAAGCCCGTCTATGCACGGAGAAAGCTGGGACGCGGAGGAGGCCAGACGTGCAGGTCGCCTGTCGGCGGTACGGCGCCGACACGGAGGCGGTCGGTGTGACCCCGGCGGCGCTGCTGACCTACCGCGACGGCGGCAGGGCAGTGGGCCACGGCACACGTGCGCTCGGTCGGCGCCGAGCTGGCGGGGCGCCCTCCCGGACCACCGGGGGTTCCGGAGGCGGGCGCAGGCGCGGCGCACGCCGCCCGGCCAGCGCCCAGGCTGGCGCTGATAGCAGATCGGCCAGTCATACGCTTTAATGGAGACTAAGCCCGTCGATCCGGCCACTCGCCGCACGCCGTGAATAATTGAGTAAGCTGTGTCCATGGCGGAGTCACGAATGCTTTTGTTGGGCGGTGGATGAAGGCTTCCGAGTCGGACGGCCGATGATGCTATCTGGCACGGCCCGCACGTGCCGGCCAGTGCACCGGCTGGTCATGCGTCCCGTCGCGGCGATCAGGGCCGAACTAACCGGCGGCCCAGATGTAACGGGCGCCCGACTCGTCAAGACGGCCGGGTCGTGTCCCACTTTCCTCCGCTTCTGAGCCACGGGGCGTGAATCGCGGGCGGCGGTGCAGGCGTCGGGGCGGGCAGGCCACGAGGGGTGGCGGCACGGGGGCGAGCGTACTGCTGGGTGAAACGCTCCCGCTTTGCTCAACCGGTTTATGCACTGGCGTTGCAGTCCCAAGATGTTTGACCCACGCTGTTGTGTGCGCGACCCACTCTCGTCAGCGTTATGATAAGTATCGGCTGGGATGTTTATTACTATTGTATCCGTTCATTGATGCTCTTGCACAGAAGCATGTGACACGAGTGATACTGCTAAAGCAGTGCATGTTGCGTCCCGCGTCAGAAATAAGTTAACTCATGAATAGTTTTCAAAAGGGAGAACAGCGAAGAGACAAAAAGAAAGAAGAGGAAGAGAGAAGCTGGAAAGAAAAAGAACTCCACCTGGCGACACTCTGACCTCTTCTCCGTTACCAGGCCACTTCTGGCCCTCGTCTTGGCTGTCATGACCCACACTTGGTAACTAACGATGCGGCAAGGCAATAAAGAGAGCCCCATGCTATTTATGAGCCTGTTAGCTCTTCTCGGGAATTGGGGCCGCGCTTGGGCGGGCTATAATCTGAGATAATCATCGGGAACGGCGGAAAATGTTCGGAATGCTGATTGATGTCACAAACAACAAAAAATCTCGGAGGAAATGATCGGTGTTTATAAGCCCGTTCACCCTGGTTTATCTTTGATAATTTTCGGAACATGATCGTCATCGACAATACACACAGAAAGCAATACAAATCCCCAAATCCAGATGGCTGCCCTCAAACGTGCTGCAGTGGCCCGTTTTAAACGGTTTGTTTCTTAACATAGCTGTATCGAGCCAAAACCATCTTGGAGTTGAACGATAAGTTACCATTTCACAACGATAATATGCGTTTGGTTGCTCGGTAGCAATTATGTTGGAATCAATTTTCGGTTACCCACCCTAATCAGACAGTGCTAACATAAATCACGCACCTATCTAGCGCACCGGCCACAGACGCCAGTGCAGCCCGCCAGGTGAACCGTGCCGTGGATAACCGTGAGCGTGCGCCCGCGGCGGCGCGGCTGAGCCCACGGGCCCCAAGGGGCATCGATATCGATATTACAGGGCATGTCGGTGCCCGATCGCTGACACCCCGACTGGACGAGGTCACCAGCTCCTGCAGAAACACCACATGGACATCCCGTGTGTGTTTGTGACCTGGCTCACGCGCGATGTACTCGACAGGCTGCTGCCATTGTCGGGTCTCAGCATACTGGGGTCTGACCGCGGTGTCGTCCGGCCGACCACAGCCCAGCAGATCCAGCCTGGGCGATACCGATCCTTGGATAGAATCCCCGCGGCTCTCGGTGAGCTGCCCCGGCCGCCGCGGTGATGATCGGCGCCACCTACCGACCTCCGGGAGGACCAACGTCCCGATGCCTGGAGACCGTTTGAGACCAGCTTAAGGTCGCCGTCGCCACTGGAAAGCCGGTTTTCGTCCTGGGAAACCACAACAGCAGTCTCCTCTACCCGGGCTGCCCGGCTTTTAAACTCTCATGACCGTCATGAGCCGCAAACAGCTGGTCGACAAGCCACCCCACGACGCCAGCACTGCTAGACCTGATCATCGCCAGTGTGACCGGTCTCCGGAACTCAGCCGAAGTTCTCCTTGAGACTGGAGGACCACCAACTGGTCGCACTCTGCGCTCCCGTCCGCAGGGAGCGCCGACGGTCATTCACCACCGCCGTGCGACCTTGGAAGCGCGTCGACTGGGGCGCGTTCAACCAGAGTCTGCTGCTGGCCGATCGGAACACTGCGCGCCGCTGGCTCCGACGGTCATAAGGTGGAGACATTTGTGATAGTATGGGACGTCGCAGCCGACGCTCATTACCTGGCCACCAGTGTGACGTCATGGCAAACTGGCTGCTCATGACTGCGTGGAGGTACAGAAGATGGAGAGGTGCGACTACGCCCGCGAGACGCGGGAGCGCTACCGTACCGCAGAGGCGCGCCGCGTGCACCAGCGATGCCGTAACAAACTGACGAGACTGATCACTCCGGCTCGTACCCGTGTAGCGGTCTGCTGCCGGGTGGCGAGGCCCCTGAAGCCGCATTAAGCAGTTCGGACTGCAGCCAGCAAGAGGGCGTGACACACCCGATCCCGACACGGGCAACCGGGCGGATTCACTCAACGCACACTTGCCCGCCGTTGACCCCAGCGCCGCTGCGGAGGCGGCGGCGGTGCGTGGCGGTGCGGCTACGACCCAAGCTGAATCGCGCCCGCAGCGTGGGTAGGCCTCAGCGTTCTCCGTACACCCAGCTTCTCTCAGAGCTCTCTGCAGCCATCGACAAAATCGGCGCGTCGAGGACTGTCGGCGTCGATGGCGTACCTCTCCATGCAATGAAAAAACACCCTCCTGTAATCGAGGCTCAAATTTAATAGCTTATCACCTTGTCTATGACATCACAGACTTTTCCGTCTGCCTGGAAGATCGCGCACGTTGCCCCAGTATTCAAGTCGGGCGATCGTTCAGATATGAATAACCTTCGACCCATTTATATTCTCTCTGTACGTCGAAAATTACGGAGAGAGTCGTCTGCTCGCAGCTCACTTCTTACCATTTTTCAACCATAAACTGATTGACGCCATCACAATATGCTAATCATCCCTGTCACTCGACAGAGGGCGCCCTAATCGACGCTGTCGATTGGCTGACAAGAGCTGGCGACAACGGCCATGACGCGTCGATAACGACGATTGACCATAGCAAGGCGTTCGACAGCGTTGGTCATGGCGTCGTCCGAGCAAGCTGGAATGGTGTGGGGTGTCCTCGGAATGGTTCCGGGACTACCTGGGCGGTCGGAAGCAGGTGCTTAGTGGTGTCTCGGTCACTCTACCCTTATCCGACAGGAGACCCAGCAATGCCTTATCGACCCAATCCTGTTCCTCATCTTCTTCAATGACACATCTCTATACAGCTTCTTGCCCTACGGCCGTCTGCTATCCTACGACAATGACATCCGACTCCTTGACTCCGCCACGCCCCATGTCGTGGGCCTGTCTAACCCGAAAACCCGGGTCGGGGAGTTCGTTTAGTGCCTTTAAAACTGGTTTCAGTTAAACAGCCTTAAACTAAACCCCAAAAGGCAGACTTGCTCATCAGGTGCAATGCATCACGTCAATTGCCCAACTCATGCAAAACACGCCTCTGCTACGTCAACTGGGAACCTCACATCTCATCATTCGTTCGGCGCTGTGATGCAGTCATCGTATCCCTGTTCAAAATGCGACATTACTTTACCCCTGAAGTTCTAAAACTCGTTGTCAAAAGCCGCGTCTTCCTCACATCCTCCACTGCCTGTCCATCCTGAAGCGAAACGGTCGCGTGTCATCTAAACGGGGTGCGAAGAGCGCTTCACTTCGCAGCCCGGCTAGTGGGTGATCTCCGCCGCAGCGGTCACATCTCGTCCGTTCTGGAGACACCCAGCTGGCGTGCTATCGCGGGTCATGCTCACCACCGGCTCCACCTGGAAACTGAAAGTGGGAAAGCCAGCAGTCTGTGAGAGTTTGACAGACGCAGGCTCATTACTGTAAGGTTCGCACGCCAATTTCGCACATACATGTTGTTGACCGAGTTCTATGGGAAATTGTTTTTACGGGTTCTGGCCAGAGGCGGGACATTCGTAACTGGCCTGCAAAGCGAACTCACCCCTGGCATGTGACGTCACCGATCATTGGCTGCCAGCATGGGGAGAGAGTCTTAGGACTGGGTGACTGTACCTCTTACACATGGCTCTGGCATCAGCCGGGCCTGGCAATTTCAGCAGGTGAAATCCAGAGGATTTACGGTGAGATGGCTTGCAGTTTTGGAGACTGTAAGCAAATTGTGGAACAACGCAAATGCTATGGCAGGATATGCAAATGGCAGGATATCAGTCACAAATAACACAAGCATCCGTCTGCGCAGTTTGCATAGGCCAAGTTGTATCGGCTTAGGCGCGCCGAATTTGAGACACACCATCGCAGCGTGCTGGAGCGATGTTCGTGAACACCGACCAAGACTTCGAGTGTTCCAACACTAAACACACACGGAATCACTACCAAGATGTGGACCTGCCTGCAGTTGCTCGTATGCAACGCCTGCACCATTGGTCTGTCATGGCCGGAAGGTATTTCGGGGAGGTGCAGTTAGATAATGCCTTCTTAGCCTGATAAACCTGGTATCCTATTTCATTGTTTACGCCATTCAACGGACACTAATTCAGCGGGTGACATTTTCGAAAGTGAAACGGTGGAATGATGAATGAATTGGCGAGTGAATGATGACACATTACTTGCCTGCCACGCGTGAATCCGTTCAGATATTGAGCCAGTGATGGCCGGAACATAGCCTGTGACGGCGTTCCCCTCCCGCACCGCACCGACGCTGATCAGCGTCCGCTGACACCGACACGGCGCCCGCAGACGAGAAGATCCAGATGACGCTGCCGCTGACGAACCGGTTCGACGCCTACTCCGAGTACCCCACCTACAACATGTGCTTCTACATCCCGAGGGCGCTCCAGAGCAGCCCGCCGACGCCCGACGACCCGAACGTTGAGCTCACTTTGTGGCCGGCCAAGACGTTCGTGGTCCGGTGAGTGGACGTCGGCTGTGACGGAGAGCGGGTGCGGGGAGGGAGGGGGAGCGGCAGACCGGACCGGCCAGGCACTGCCGCGGCTCGGGTGGCCACGGCCCGGGGTGACCAGTGCATGGGGTGTCCAGGGAAGGGGTGGTCAGGACTCAAAGTGACCAGTGCACGGGTGGCGCTGGCTCGGAGTGACACGGGGTGGGCTGGCTCAGAGCGACTAGGGTTGGTGCTGGCTCGGAGTGACCAGGATGGGGTGGGCTGGCTCAGAGTGACCAGGGGTGGTGCTGGCTCGGGGTGACCAGGACACGGGGGGGGCTGGCTCAGAGCGACCAGGGATGGTGCTGGTTCGGAGTGACCAGGATATGGGATGGGCTGGCTCAGAGCGACCAGGGTGGTGCTGGCTCGGAGTGACCAGGATATGGGGTGACCGTAACACGGGTTCATCGGTGCTCAAGGTGCTCCTGGGGTGTCACTGTCACACAGGGGTGTCACTTTTTAAGGCATATTTTCATAGAAGGGGGGGGGGGGCTGAGCCCATAGCGTTACGCTAACCTACCCCCAAAACTTAACATCTGGCTGAATCTCGACCACTTCATTACGTCCTCGATGTTAAAGCAAAACATTAACACAATCGTAAAAAATTGCTGTCAAAATAGAGCGCATCATCGTGGACAATCGGCCGTACAATCTCACCCGCAGCAGGTTCAGCTGTTGCACACCCTGGCCCGCCAAGCAGCTCATCTGGAGCCGCTTTGCTTGTCACGGTTTGATGGGCGCGGAGCCCGCTGTCGCTAATCGTGTTTCGCCATTTGATTGGCAGCTGAATACCATCTGTCACGACTGTGCGACAAATCCACTTGCCGCTGTTGCGGAAAACATGGGTTAACTCATGCCTTGGTCATCCTGTGCTTTAAAAGCTGCCGCATATTGCGGCCAGTTGTTCTTTATTCCAGTTCAGGTGCTACTACGTGCAAAACTTGCGGAACGTTTGCTGACTGACCTACCATATGAATGAGCTGGCATGACAAAAACATGAAGTGGCTACAGAATACTTTTTGGTAGGAGATTGCCAAGATTTCAATACTTAAGTGTCTGAGTACTTGATGCACTTAATACTTGTAGCTACAACCACATTCCTGCATTTCTTCGGCCCGGCGTTCCTTTTTTGCCCAGATGCATTAAGGGTGCTCAGATGGGTTTTAGGGGGGGGGGGGTTGGGTGGGCTGAGGTCAACATTGAAAGAACGCAGGTCCCCGAGACTGTAGAAAGTGACAGCCCCGCTTGAACGTAGGGCGACTGCCGAAGGTTCCAGCACTCCACCATAAATCTCGGTCACCCGGACCACAGTCGCCCTGCTGAACCCGGCTAGCCCACTCCCTGCTGAATTGGGCTACAGGAGCCCAGCATGGCGACTACGGACCGGGTGGCTGAGGTTCTGGCGCGGTCACCGGGGTCAGCATGACCTCGAATCGCTCCCCAGGGCGTCACCCAGCTGCGCCCCGTTGCAGACGGTTCGGCGGGTTCGTGCTGTACCGACGCGGCTGGGACCGGGCGGCGTTCCTCCTCGAGAAGATCAGCCGCGAGCAGGGCCTGCAGGGCATCGACTTCACCAAGTACTACAGGTCAGCCTCAGCTGTTACTATCCGCCATGGCAGGCGGGCCGAAGGGCAGAGGCTGCCCGGCGCCCGTGTTGTGGTGGGCCTCTCGTGCCGGCAGCATGGGCCAGTGAGGAGAGTATGTGCCGCAATGCAGCTGGACTAGCACCCTGTGAGCAGGCTGGGGTTAGTGACCAATAGCGGCGCAAGAGACACTAGAAGACAACCTTCGACTTATGGCTAAAGCATCGTCAGTAGACCAGTCAAAAAGTCAGGGCACTTAAAATGAGACAAGAGCTCCTGCCTTTGGTCACCAAAAACACGGACCATGGTGGTGCCTGGTTTGTATTCGAGAGCAGAAGCGACGATTTTCAGAAGATTACGGTGGCACACGCTGCTGCGCGGCATTACCTCCCGATCTCTGAATGCCCGGCGGCCGTCGAAAACAGATACGAATGATGGCGAACAGACGTCCCGCGAGTGGAGGCTAATCACACAGCAGATGGGCAGCGACGCAAGGAAATTACCAGGCTGTGTTTCGTCATTTTGATTGCCATCAATAACCGCGCATGCCACCGATCACAGATAATCACAGAAAAAGCGTTCGCCATCTCACTGATCAAACGCGAAAGTGACCCATGACGGCAAAGTTAGCGATGGCGGACGTCATCGACGGTTTGGATGCACGCAAATGTCCGTCTACATCCAAAATAAGACAATCATGCAAACAACGCATGGCTAGAAACTGGTAGTTACAAAGTGGTGCGTCGTCACATTTTGTAGGTTCAGGGGACAACAAATGCAGAGGAAATGAGGCACAAAACGTGAAATCTCCACAAAACTATAACTAGGTACTGAATGTTGGGCAGACTACTTATTTGCTCCGCACCAGTAATTTGACCACGCCACCGCCTCGCGTCGCTGACCGCCCCTCCGCGCCCCCAGCGTCAACTACGACCTCCTGGTGAAGTTCTGGAACCGCAAGAACGAAGTGTGGTTCGAGCTGGCGGCCTGATGCCGGGCCGGCCGCTCGGCGCCCGGCGATGGGCCCGCAGCATGCCCCGACCGGAGAGGCCCGTCCCTGCCGACGCCGGCGCCGCAGACGGCGCGCGCAGGGTGATCTGCACGTGGAGGGGAGGCGCTGCGCAAGACAGCGCGCGTGTTGGCGTGCCTGGGAACTCTCGGAGGACTTCACGGCAGTGCACCGTTGTTTATTGTTATGGTACCTGTCTAACACTTCCCGCCTCAGCCCAATGACGTCAACTGCGCCACCTCTCTTTGTTCTCGAGAACTGCCAGTGATAGCATCACCCGCTCCCGCGTAGCAGGATAAATCCGATGCAGCTAACTTGTCGTTCCATTTCAAGTTGCGCTGGGCTTCCAGATATCCGCAATCGGTGTAGCTGTTGGTCGATGCTCGTTTCTGCGCGCATTATTTTGTTATTTATATGACCTGTTATTTTCGGGGTCTTGTTGATGTTTAGCTTACCTAAACGGTGTTAATGATCTTCCCAATGCTGTGCCTTTTTGAGATTAAATGATACAGCACTGTGATTGGTCCGCTTGAAGTGGCCTCGACACAGCCTGATGGGCTTCAGCGGAAATCATCCGAAAATTCGCTATTTTGCAGCTGAAAAGCACTTCTTTCAACACTGTGTTCTACATCTTCACAATTATTGACCATAGCATGCAATCGTCCCCACTATATTCTCCTCCTTTCCGATAAACAAAATGATTCAAATCGTGCGAGGTAAAAAGATATCAAAGCCTGACCGCAGCCATGCCATCAGCTACCCTGTCATGTAACAGTACATCAGTAAAACTGTCGCATTGCACGTAATGCGGAAGACGTAGTACACCGGTATACGCAGCCCACCGGTAAACGAACAATCACCACATCACAACCAGCCCAGCCGGCATCGTCGGGCGCGGGGCCGCACGAGCTGGTTCCGCCAGCGACCGCCAAGTGTCAGGCTAGTGCTTCTTCTTGTCTTCGGGCGGGCGGAGGACGCCGCTCAGCAACAGAACGCCCCGAGTGGCGTTGTTGATGTGCCGGAACCGGTCGGGGCCCAGCAGGATGCCGCCGAACCACCGGCTGACCACCACCACCACGTCCCGCACGGCCAGAATCTGCGGCAGCGGGGACGGCGGTCAGCGCTCCGCCTGCTGCCCGCGCACGTCCCAAACACAGACAGGCCAGACCACGGCACGTGGACGTCCGCTGGCCCACTGCCCGCGCACGTCCAAACACAGACGGGCCAGACCACGGCACGTGGACGTCCGCTGGCCCACTGCCCGCGCACGTCCCAAACACAGACGGGCCAGACCAACGGCACGTGGACGTTCGCTGGCCCACTGCCCGCGCACGTCCCACACACGCGGGTCAGACCACCGGCACGTGGACGTCCGCCGGCCCACTGCCCGCGCACGTCCCAAACACAGACGGGCCAGACCAACGGCACGCGGACGTCCGCTGGCCCACTGCCCGCGCACGTCCCAAACACAGGCGGGCCAGACCAACGGCACGCGGACGTCCGCTGGCCTACTGCCCGCGCACGTCCCAAACACAGACGGGCCAGACCAACGGCGCGTGGACGTTCGACGGCCCGCTGAGATGTGGCACGGCCGGTGCAAGAGCAAGCAGCTGAGGCAGCCTAAGCAACGCGACACGTTAAAACTGAAGCCAGCTTAAACTTGAGCTAGACGGTGTACCAGAGGGAACTGCGGGGACCACGTGCCGCAGCATTGTCAAGCGCGGCATCTCCCACACCCATCCTAGGAATGTCAATGGAGACAAAGTTATTCTTCAGACCGGGTCGCATTTGGCGATGATTCCGAAGCCAATGGGCGAAACCTTAGCTTAGCTGCAGTTTCCAAGGGTCGCGCGTACAATGTCGCCACGCTCGATGTCGATGCCATGATAAAAAGATCACAGCCATGTCATGATCACAGCTAGCATTCCCGAGTCCAGTTCCATCCATGCAAGCGGTTCGAAATCAGATCCTAATACGCATTTCTCAGATTGCCACGCCGATCAAAACATTGCGCCTTGTGCTGCAATGATGATCTTAACCAGCAATGCATCCTAGCGCTTATGGAACATTCGGGTCCCGCAAATGTGCTCGATAAGAAGAAAGAAGCACACGTCTTCCTTTTCATATTAAACGACTCTTTAACGCCAGTCGAGAACAGACGGGTTAGATACAAAGGCAAGGGTAACGTTCATATTTCTGCCATGAGCTTCTTAAAACAACCCATCGCGCAAGCGCCTCCGCGATTCTGCGCGGCACCATCTGCTGCACCTGTACCCCCCCCCCCCCCCCCCCCCCACGTCGTGTCCAATTCACGTCAACCAGCCGGCCAGTCGGCGTCTCCCGCCGCCGGCTAGAGACGCGTCAGACCGCGGCGTGCGCCTGGCCGCCCCTCCCACCTCCAGCAGGTGGAGCATGCGCGCGCCGGCGTGCGTCTCGCCGTCGTCGTCGCAGTCCTGCTGGAAGGCGCCGCTGGTCGCGCCCCCTATCCGGTACGCCCACATGTTGTGCGCCGCCGCTGCCACCTTGCGATTCTCCTTGAGCCGGGCCACCACCTGCCTGGGGGACGGCACGGTGAGGGCGCGAGCCCCGGCGCCCAGCGGGAGGGGCTCGCCTGCGCCGGCTCATGCGAGTCCCCTGTCACATACCGGCCACGATTCACTCCCACAAAACTTTGGCAGGCAACCTGTGCAGAGTTGAGCTCTGCCGGCGGATTATCTTGGAATCGTCTAGCTGGGGCATTCATGCGACTATCAAGACCGTGAATTTACTCTTACGCCTATTCGAATCCATCCGTCCATCGCTCGCATTCATAATATACGCCCCGAATTGGGAAACTACTGCTCAAAACTATTACAAACTACAAAACTACAAACTACAAACTGGGAAACTACCTGTCCGCTGTCGGGAATGATTCTTTCAGTGGGGCCTTTGACATTGTTGTGGTTTTGTTAGTCATATCCGGCCCCTATTCGCCAATTTTGTGCGCACATGCTCTATGCCCAACTTTGTACATTGGGCATGACGTGATTCCCAAGAGGTGACGCTGCACAGTGTGACACAAAGAACATGACCTGGCCTCTATTACTTTGCGAGTGACATAATGATAACCTTCTTCATTTAGTCAATGGTTTCAAGAGGCTTCCTTCTTCCAACGGCTATATAGAAATATAATATGCTATATATTAGAAATGTCCATGTTAAATATTAATGCAAACTCAACATGCCCATGACAACATACCCAGGCAGCCATGCAGTCGACGATCACTTAGTGCATGCACTTAATAACGGCCCGTGATCATCGGGTCCACTGAAGAGTTTAAAAATAACATTGAAAAGTTTGAAGCCCGGTTACACCCAGCTTCCCGGCCCGGAAAACCGGGATGCCTCGTCCGGAATTCGGGGCCGGAGTGCATCTGGCGGCGCGAACCGGGGAAACTGGATCGCCGCTGGTCGGCCGGCCAGCTTCTCCCACCGGCCGGCTTCTCCAACCGGCCGGCCGGCTTCTCCCACCGGCCGGCCGGCTCCTCCCACCGGCCGGCAGGGACCCGACCGGGCCGGCAGGGCCAGTTGGCTTCAGCTCAAGTTTTGACCCGACCGGCGCTGCGAAAGACCCGAAAGGGAAGGGCGTTCATTGTGATGCGCGCGATGCGCGTGGAAGTGGACCAAGGAGACGGGCGACAAAATGGGGCAGATATGCATT